GGCCTCGAGCTGTGGCCGAGCGGGGTGTCGCGCAGCCGGCGGGGAGCTCGGGTTACGGAGCGGGCACAAGCGTGGGGGGTGATCCCGCCCGCCTGGCATGCGGGCAGCGCGCGCCTCGCCCTCCCAGGCCCGGGTAGCCTCATTCTGCTTCGCTGCTTCTCCCGGGCCCGCAGAGCGCTTTAGTGGCATTTAAGAAGCAGCCGCTGCCTCCATGCTGCTTACCAAGTCACTCCTTTCCTTCTGGTGTACAGAGAGCAGCAAAGCACTCGATCATTTTAGGGCTGAGCTATTTTTAAACTTTTTTAAATCAAATACTTCTCTTATTAAAGAAAGCATTCATTTTCTGTTTAAAGCTTTCTAAGATCCTCATGTTCCCTGCAGACTATCCCACCCTGACTGATTCTGGTATTTCAGAAGACCTAATAAAATACTTTTTCTCCAAAGTGGTCATTCATTACTGAAATATGGTTTCGAAATAAATAAACAAGGAGTTCTTACATTAAGCAGGGGGACAAAAACTTATATGGATTGCTTATTTTTTCAGGTCTATTATCCATTCAGGCTAGAATTTCATTAAGTCCTGTCAGACTGACTTTCTGGAGAGAGACAATGTGAAATCTTAACGTACAAGAACATTACTTTGTATGACAAATATGTCAAACTTCTTTAGTAATTTACAAAGAAATGAAAGCATCGGCCCCATCATTTGATATGTCATCTTTACTATCTTCAGAGATTGACCCGCACCTGGTCCAATCCAAGGTCATGTCTTAAAAACGCCACCCAGCCATGCCCAAATAACCTCCCTCGTCACCAGTGCCAGGGCCTGAGGTTTATGGCAAGGAAAAGTTTCATTGCCCTATTTCCAGGTGGAAATTGGTCCTTTTTTACTCTTGCAGCCTGCCACGACAGAAGGAACATTAGTGATAGGAGTGGAAAAAGATAAGTGACACCCGAGTCTCTGAGAGGCCAAGTGTAAGAGACTCCAGGTGGCAGGTGACTGGTAGAGCCTTTGCACCCATGAAGCTAGTCATAGTGTGGCCCTTCCTTTGGCAGAGTTCAAGTGTCTTATCAATGGCCACAATTCCGTGAAGCCCCAAAAAGCCAGGATCGTGTTGGCTTTTCAGCTTAAAGCCCCCCTCCCAACTTCCAAAACCTGCCGACGAGCAGCCTCAGCTACAGGGGTCATGGGGAAAAGAGACACCCCTGGACTCTGTGTCTGGCAAATGACAAAATCCCGTTAATATTTGCCCCCAGGCAGGCAGAAGGGCACATTCGTCCCCTGTAACGGCGGGCAGCGAACGTAAACTCCAGTGTGGCCTATAAAGCCCTGGATCCCGCCCGGCTGCGCTGGTTTTCTGGAATTCTGTAGATGCCAGAAGTAATCTGTGTTCACGTTAAGGACAGGCGGGACGGGCACTCCACTGCCTCCCACGTTAGCAAGACGACATTTCAGGGCCCTCAAGTTGCTGTGGACAACCAAGGATTCCTGAGCTGCCTTGGCTCTTTTTTCCCATTTTAAGCTGGTGAAAATACCTGTGCGACCTGCAGGGTTATGATAACTCACCCTTGCGCAACCTGTTGCTTTAAACACAGAAATACGCTTTCGTCTGCCCCAAAATGAAAACTATATAAAATGGTGCAGAATAGTTAATAAAGTTACAATCCCCGAAAACTCTTTGGCTGAGCACAGCAATAACACCCAGGAAAAAGATCCAGGAGGAGATTTTACTTAACGCCTATGCTCCTCGCACATCTTCCTCCTTTGAGCAGGTCTTTAAGGAGCCTCCTAATTTATCTTCCCAGCAGAGCTGCGAAGAGCAGAGCCCTGTGATTAATGAAGTTTTGTGCGCGAGGAGCCGGGGAGCCGCGGCAGCCATGGGGAATCTGGTTATCGCCAAGGCGGTGTTGACACAAATGTCAGTGACGGGGGGCTGATGGCGTCTCTCTGCATCCAGAATCATCCCGGGCTCGTCGTGGTTTTGGTTTGCCTCGGCCGCCTTCGTAAGCGGCTGCCCTGTGTGTCACCAAAATGTCCCCAACTGAAACTTCATTCTTAACCCTTCGTCAAGGAGGAGGCGCCTTTGGCGAAAAGGGACACAGCCCCGTTGTCGTTTAAGCACACAGGAACCGCTCAGCGAGAACAGACCCGTCGTGATAAACACGACGTGGCTCCATTTCCCTGTCTTCAAGGAGGAATTGCCTCGGATGCCAAAACAAAGGAGAAATGAAGACGTGTTCCGTGCAGACGTCGTGCACGAAGCTCCCGCGGCCAAAAGTAAAACAAAACAAAACAGCCTCCAAAATCACCCCTGCCCAGAGGCAAAGCTCGGGAGTAAATAAATAAATAAACAAACAATAAATAATAATAAAGCCTAAAATACCTACAGAAAAGGGGAATGTTAATAGCCAAGAGAATTTAGGGCTCTGGTTAGTAAGTCGGGAACAAGGTTCCTTTGGGATGGCAGCTGCCGCGGGCCCTTGGAGAGGATACGTGGAGGGCCCTCTGCAGCAGGCACACACCTTGTTGGCCCATCCCTAGGAGTACTTGAAAATACAAGTTGTATATTGAATTTACCCTTCACTTACACCTCATCTTTGGAATCTAAGGGCGAAATCTTGAATTCGCTTTTGCTCTGCTTTACTTTAGACCTTTCTCCATTTCTGCGTGTTTACTTTCCCCGGCAGAGACGCAAACATTACTTTTGCTTTTGTCATCCGCTCAAAACTCTGTATTTTGGCACTCGTATTCCCGATAGGGGCATTTTCTAGCCTTTGAGAGAAGAAGATCACCCGTTGAGAAACAGCAACGCTTCCCATCCTGCAGTCCTGTTCCTGCCTCCGACTTTCACCACCGGCACATTATAGGGAAAATAACGGTCCCCAAGGGCAGATATTTCTTATGCTTCATTCCTGCCCCAAATAACTGTATCTGCTTATTAAAACCCTCGCTGGCAGCATGCTACAATAACCCGTGTGAGTTATTTATCTCTCGGGGAGCTTGGAAAAGAGCTGCTTTTCCAGCCTTGCACTGTAGAGCCCATCACCCAACGCAGCCCTTTTTGCAACACTGCGGTAAGAAATGGGTCTGCAAATCACGTTTATTCAGTCCTTATCTAGCCGATTTACCTGCTCCTCAAGTATTTGCTTCCTTGTACTATCTTAATTGAAGCTTCCTGCTGCCTGCATTTTCTTTTACTGCTTTTCTACAGAGAAGAGCAGAACTCTTCTAGCAGCTCTTTCATGGTGCGTTCTCCTCACCCATTTTCTGTGCAACCAACTGTACCTATTTTTATTTCCCATTTCTCTAGTCTTTAAAACTTTTGACTACAAGATTCCAATGGTATTCAAACCATCTGGGCTCCATGATAAGGTGCTGGGTTTGGGGAGCTGAAGCATCTGATGATCTTCTCCCAGTATCACCGTGTGGCGGATGACGACGCATGCTCCCTATGGTATGTTTTTTTACCATTTCTCAGGGCTGCCAACACACTTGTGATGTTTCTCTCATGGATTATGGAAGTTTAGAATTACGATTCCGGCCAGCGTCGCGTTATCTGGTACAGCCACGTGATCAGAATCATTCCACTCTGACCTCCCCATACTCAATCCTGCTTTTAAAATGCTTCCTCACCATCCTGCCCCTTTCCATTTCCTTACTATACTGCACCCTCGCCTCTGAAAATTCAGCCGTAACTTTAGCCTTTTCTCAGCATTTCAGGCTGTGCCTGTTTTTTTCCAGATTTTAATGCCATGAATGTGTTTTAAGGCACAGCACTGCCTGCAGTGCCCTCGTGCTAGTGCAAACGCAGTAACTAACAGCGAGCAATGACTGGCTTTGCTCAGAGCACCATACAAATAACCTACGGAGATGCCTGTGATAACAGTGGCGTAGTTATCATTTTAATCCAATAATAGGACTAATATCCTGCTCCGTGCTGGGAATCCTTGTGTTTTGTGTTTCCGGTGGAGGGGGTGGTAGCACCGGAGTCGCTCTCCCGCGAGTTCCGTGCGGGCTGCGTTTTCTCATCTCCAGCCTCGCAGCTGCTCTGGGGCATTCACCATGGGGCCGTCCTCACCTCGGTGCAACCGGCAGGCCATTTTCCTGCTCAGCACCCGATGTTTGAGCCGAGGGGCTTTACCCAGCACAGGGGAAGCCCGTCGAGCTGCGAACCCACCGCAAACACCCGCCTCTCCGCTGCCCATGGAGAGTTATTGATGCTGGCCCGGCACCTGCAGCTCGCTAGGTGCGAGTCTGAAGGAGGTTGGCAGTCACGGTTACCCTCCTTTAAAGTCACGTAGGGCAGCCTGGGAATAACCACCGTTTGCTGAGTAGGTGAATCAGACGTCACAGTGAAA